CGCTCCGCTGGTAGGAACAAACACATCAAAATCCAAATTATGGAAACAAGGTGTAATGAGTTTTTACCTGTCGTAATCGTATAGGTATATATTTGGAGTTTATTAATGCTTGAACACTTCCCAGCTTTCTCATGCACTCATACGCCTGCACAGTCACACTTGGTGGGCGTTTCAGCAGCCCTTCCCATGGTCATGGTCACAAACACCCCAACTCAGGCCGAGTGTGGAAATGAGTGGCTAGGAGAAAGTTAATGCCATCTACCTGGTAATGGCTGTATCTTCTATTTTAAAGCATATTACACTAAATATTTTGATTTGTTACTAATAATCTTGCTAATGATTAGCCCATCCTGTTCTGGTTTTGTACACTTATAATGCTTTGAAATCCCTGTTGCATTATACGCACAAACACAGCGGCACACCGCAAACAGCTAGAGAGCACAGAGCCACCCCCGCCCAGCAAAGTGTCCCGGACAAGCCACCACCGCTGCCCTGGTCTTGGTGACATTGGTGTCCGGAGGCCTGGGTTAAAAATGGAAAGCTCATGCACCAACATGCAAACTCCCATCCGCCGAGTTCAGCTGTAATATGGGGTTTTGTGCTTTAAACCTTCAAAACCTGTTACGCTGGGACAGGGAAGAGAAGGAATGTGGTAGTTTTGATGATGCAAAATGAAAGTGAATTCACAAAAGCAAGATTTTAGTTGTATCTAAAAAAACCCAAAGAAAAAGGAGTACAACTCCAGTTATAATCCAAAGAGGACCGCTGTTGCAACAAGGAATTAGGGATTTACACCAGGAAGGGACATCGCCCTTTGGCTGCAGGAGGGACTTTGCAAACACCAGATGCACATTCGTGCGGCCAAAAGCTTTCCCCGCGGCTGCTTCTCTGCAAGTCTTGCGCAGCAAGGGGAGCGAGGGAGAATTAGCACAAGCTTTTAACTTCCCCCCCTGCTTCACCTATCCAAATGTTTTCAACTAACCCCAAGAGACAGCCCGCAGTCTACAGAGACTGGCCCAACAGCACGGGTAAGCTGAAGCCCGAAATGCCGACGGAGCCGGCTGCCCCAGCGCGCTGCCAGCCCAGCACTTCCCACCCACGGCTTCCTGGCCCCGAGCTGCAGAGCAGCTTCTCGGAGACACTTTCCTGGTGGGAATAACTGGGTTCCCCTCCTGACCAGTCCATTGCACTGCCCCGCAGACAGCTTCTCCCTAGGTTTTCAATGCATCGGGTTTAAGACGGCATACGGCTTAAAATGCTGGTGCAAAGCATCAGAATCAGCCCCTTTGCCTGCACGGAAGTACGTGGCACAAATCGTGTGCCCAGGTTGCTCTCAGCCTGTCAGCCTCCTCGATCCCTCCCTGCCTGGCAGGAGCTCCGACGGCCACGCAAAGTGGGGTGCAGGCACCAACCCGCACAGTGCCGTGCACAGCGGCTACCAAAGAGGGTCCTGGTGACCCGTCCTGCTGTGGTGTGGTAGGACCAGGTTTTTCCTGCTGGAGAGGTTTCCATTGTCCGTCAGTCCGTGGGGACACCATGATCTCATGCACTCAGTCCTTGCTGCTCTGAGAGCAATCAGAAATCCAGTGCAGGCATCTGGACATGCAGGTCAGTGCCTGCAAGTGGGAAAAACAGGAGATGTGGACATAAGTGGAAGGGAAGCCGTGGCAACTGTGTCCAAACCAGCCACGTCATGCAGCCCCCAGGCAAAACTGATGGAGGATTGCAAAGTCAGTGCAACTGTTCCCATACGGGGTAATCAAATTCAGCTTCTGCTGGAAGGCTTTGGAAGCACTGCACAAGCCTCATGCTTTGTGCCAGCCGCTCGACACCCCCCCCCCCAGAGGGCTTAGGGACACTCCCAGGACCGGTCATGGCATCACTGCCCAGGGCAGATTTTTGCATGTTTCTCTGAAGCAGCCGGGGTTGCCAGATACAGAGGGCACACACCGATACGGTTGTGCATCTGTATCTGAAGCCCAAAATGAAGCTTCACCTCCACTGCCAGCTCCAGGAAAGATTTCACCAATACATAACAGAAGAGCACTACTTTTCCACCTTTCTCTACTACTGAAAAGTTAGGATAGGCTGGGGAGAAGCTGCAGCAGAGTGGCAGGAAGAGTACAGGCTGGGCACAGGCACTTCACCCTTCCCAGCGCCGGCTCTTCAGCAGGCACGGTCCCCAGGCGCACGGCAGGATAAGAGCACTGCAGATCTACCAGCACACTCATAAGCTTGTTTCCCAACTGCTCTGGGGATAGTGTACATGGCATTTCCCTCGGGCTCTAAGCCTCTTGACTATTCTACAGCCCCCCTGCAAACCTTCGCTGTCCCATCTCTTCGCCCCTTCCAACTCCCTCTCCATCTGCAGAAGCATGAATACAAATCGCTTGCACAGCCACTTACTTGCACTCCCTTTCATATGAGCTCGGCAGCCTTTTCTCTTCCCTGGAGCTCAGAGGTTCAAACCTCGTGCTCTGACTAGAGACAGCAAATCCAGCAGCAAATGTTCTTTGAAAGCAAGAAGGGACTAGAGCTCTTTTTACCAACAGCTTGATTAAATTCTCCTCCAACATCTCAAACAGCGCTTGCTTGTTGCGGAGTGGCCAGCAAAGCTCATTTGCACCATTTCTCTGGGCTGGGAAGCGTCACTCTCGGAGTGCGACACGGCACCGGCAGCAGAGAGGGGGTTTCCAGCCATCCAGCTCAGCATGGTACATCACAGATTTTTACGTAACCAGTGGCGGTGCTTGCTTGGACTTGCTGTACATGGGAGTTTTCCTCCGTTCATTCAGTGAGTGGGGGAAGGTTTTTAACAGCATCTGAGAAAATGAGACCAGAGGCAACTCAGAGCTGCAGAAGTTGCAGATGTTGGTCATGCAAGCACACAGGAACGGTTGTTCTTGTGTAGGCACAAGTGTGCTCGGAGATAGAGATGCAAAAATTCTTTCCTGCCCTAACATGCCTATGAAGACCCTGATGCCACCACTCTTGCACACATCTTTCTGGACATAGCTGTATTTTGATTTCAGAAAAAGAGGTCTTGGTAATCCCTCCCTACATTTCAAAACAATGTTGACAGTAACCCTGAAGTAGCTGATTGCTTCGGGAAGGAATCAGACTAACAGATTATTCAAATTTTGCCAAGAAGGGGGAAGCTGAACTGGAATCCTTCTTGCACTGCAGAGAGAGGGGTGGGAGAGCAGCAAGGTGACCATCAGCCAGAGGAACTGCTGTTAGCAAGGGGCAAATATCAAGGCCCTTTTTGTGCTATGTTGTTTGCTTTCTGCAGAATATGTTATGTTTGTCTTGCTGGCTACTTCTGGGATATGTATGAAAGAGCATTTTTCATGCTCAGTGAGTTAATTATTAGCCATGGACAAGTGGCCACTGAGCAATTAGAAATCGCAACACAAGGAAGAAAGCACAACAGAACACCTTTCACCTTAACAAGGAAATAAAAGCCTTTTTCTTCTACTGGGAATTACCCTTAATAAAATTGTGTCACTTGATGCCCTGAAATCAAATTCCTCTGAATGTTTATAAAGACTTTCCTTGGCACCTATCATCTTCTCTAGAACTCGAGGTATGCAGGTAGATCAACACTCATGCTCAGGAAATGCACATTCCCATCACTGTACCATGCAATGTCCGACAGCAAACTCAGTTCAGGCCAAAGAAAACAGTTTAGTGAATTAAGAGCCTTGGCTTAATCACTCAGTCCAAAACAAGAGGAAGGTCAGAAATATTCATCCTGAAGAATACGGACACATTTCAAGAGACAGGCAGTTGGTTTGGCATTCTCCAGTAGCCACCACTGAGTCCTGGCCAAGGGTGACTTTTGGTACAGGAGGTTTGGCTGGATATACAGGTGGGATGGTGCTTTATTTGGTTTAAGTCTGATTCTTAGAGGGTTGGGGGGTGAGGGGTAAATACCTGCATCTCACTAACTTTACCAGCAGCTGAGGAAAGAAAAAAAAAAAGTAGAGGTGAAGATATTACCCTTTTTGCATCTCCTTGGAAATCAGGGAAACAAAAAGCAGTAATTAAATACAGGCTTCAGACAGGAACTCTGTTCTGGGACATAAGGAAGAAATTTTTACAATGAGGGTGGTGAGGCACTGGAACAGGTTGCCCAGAGAAGTTGTAGATGTCCCATCATTGAAAGTGTTCAAGGTCAGGTTGGATGGGGCTGTGAGCAACATGACCTAGTGAAAGATGTCCCTGCCCATGGCAGGGGGTTGGACGAGATGATCTTCAGAGGTCCTTTCCATACCAAACCATTCTGTGAGAGCAGGTTTTCCTAAGGAGTGGTTTTGGCACTCAAGCTCACAAGTGAACAAGCTTTCCTTTCACTGCACGAACAACACTGAAAGAGAATATGACCCCAGCTATTGAACGATTAGAAGCAGCATTATCTCCTGGCAAGGGTCAAGTGAGCAGTTGAGCACTGCGTTGCCACACAACTCTCATGCCTGCCAGGGCTCGGCAGCTTTCTGGACCATTTTTTGATTTCAGCCTTGTGATGGTCTGATTTACAAGTGTCAAACCAGACATCATTTCTGATTTTGAATCAAATCTCTCCTGGTTTGGCCAAAATCACTTTTTATGCTGTGCACACTGCCACTGTTGCCTGCCAGAGGGACACTGTCCCCGCAGCACTCTGATGTGACAGACACATTGGTGGCTTACAGGCATGGCATTAACCAAGTTTGTCATAAAACAACTCCCCTCGTTTTGCAGAAGGGAAAATTGGGGTGTTGGGATGAGATCCACAGGCAGTCATGATGCCATGCAGCAACACTGGCGAGAACAGAGCTATCAGCTCCCTCTTTCCCATTCAATTGCTTGACAGAGGCAATTAAATGCTGTATTTCTCTTTAGCTCAAGTAGTCACAACCCTCATATCCTCCAGGCATGAGGATTATTAGATGACCTCATCATTTTGCAAGAGTGATTATTCACCAACTTCTGTGCCTTTTCCAGGGAATGCAAGAAAAATGACTCTACTAGCGTTCATCTTCCTGCTTACCTTCCTCTCAGCTGAATCTGCAAGCAGCAGATACCTCCCCAAGGCAGCAAGTAAGTGCAACCTGTCTGGGACACAAGTCTTGTGGGTGGCCTGAGGCCAGAGGTGGCATTACTAAGGGGGGAGCAGTGTTCAGGGAGCATCTCTACCCCATCACTGCCATGGGACGTTTCAGACCACATGATGCTGCGCAGCCCTGGGTCTGTGCTTGCCCCAGTATCCTGACCTGCTCTGCAGTCCCACTGGGTTGTGTGGCACAGCTGACCCAGCCAACGTGTTTTCTTCTTGCAGTCTCAAGCCCTGTGTTCGGACCACGGCAGGTATACGGTCTGCTCAACGGGTCAGTCACCGTGAAATGCTTCTACCCTCCCACCAAAGTCAACAGACATGACAGAAAGTATTGGTGCAGGGAATCGTCCACGAGCTGCATAACCGTTGTGTCCACCAGTGGCTATGTTGCTCCAGGCTACCAAGGCAGAGTCTCCATCACTGACTACCCAGTGGCACAGAACTTCCAGATTAACATCTCCAACCTGGCAATGGCAGATACAGGCACCTACCAGTGCGGCATTGGTATCAATGGCAGAGGGCTCTCCCACAAAGTCAGTCTGGATGTTTCTCAAGGTAATTACAGTCTTGGGGCTCCTTATTCTTCTTTTACTTCCCCCTCTCTTTTTAATGAGGCTCCACAGATAGCCTGTCCAGTGTCTAAGAGCTCAAGATGCTCCACGCTTTCAGGGAATAGTTTTCCTTTTCCTCTGTGCTCTTACAGAATGAATTCTTTGACCAAAAATCTGGCATAAAAATCAGATTAAACAAACCTCATCTTAATATCACAAACATTGACTAGAAACTGCTGACCTCTCTCAGCCACTGAAATTTAGGAAGATGCAGTCAGAGGACCGAACTGCCCATCATTCCGATGCACTGTCCAACCCAGGGCTGAGGTTCTGTGAGCCAAGCCTGTGTACAAATTGACGAGAGCACGGTGTGCAGGATGGCACCGCACTGCTGGGCAAGGCCCAGGGTGCAGAGCACGGTGCAAACTCATGGCACAACCCCTGGCAAGAAGAGTCTGGGAGAAACCCCGCTGTAGAACAGGCAGTGATGCAGTATGGAGACCTCAGACCTGAAATGCGTGACACATGGGACACAGATGGGTAGATCGTGCTCTGACCAGGAGCGGCACATGACCATGTAATATAGCAAAGTATAGAGAAACCCTGTGCTAAAAACAGCCTTCAGAGGTGTAGGAGTTGCACACAGTTACCAACAGAGCAGGCAGTAGACACTGACTGGTGTCTCTGTACGCGCAGGTCCACACGTACCCGAGGGAGCTGAGCTCTTCTACGTGAAGCTGCACAGCACTTTGACCATGTCCTGCGGCTTCGGGGAGGACACTGTGAGCATGAGGAAATTCTTGTGCAAGATGTATAAAAACGGCTGCTATAACATCATCGATAGCTATGGGAAGGTTGATGAGGATTACACAGGGCGAGTTCTGCTGAGCAACGAGGAGCCTCCAGGCTCATTCAGCATCGTGATAACTCAGATGAGCTGGGAAGACTCGGGCTTGTACCTGTGTGGGGTCGGCTCCTACGGGGAGCACGGAGAAACGAAGGAACTGGACGTGCATGTCTATGAGGGTGAGTAAAATATGACTAGTGTTTTTTCCCTTCATCTCTGCTTCTCTTTAGAAGCATCACTAGCAGTCTCACTTCATTTAACAATAACATTAATTTTCCTTTGCTGAGTGCTATTATCCTATCCTCTCATCTAGATACTTCTTTCTATTCATTTAACTATCTGTAACGTACTAAACCATCACTAATAAAGCTTGTATCAAGACTTAACTTTCCCAGCAGTGACTAGCTGTCTTCCTCAGTCTGGCTAGCCCAAAACTCCAGAAGGCAAATTCTGCCTACCAGTCTGAGACAAGAAAACTGTCTTTTCAAGTCTTAATTCCTTAAATCTCAAAGTGACAAATGTAGAAAGGACAAGAGTTGCCCTTCTCCTAGCAAAGGGAGTAAAACTTTGAAATGTTGGTACACAAAGACAGCAACTACCCTGTGAATTTGGGAAAAAGAAAGTCCTGACAGACCCTTTAGGGTCAATGCTTAGCAGCGCCAGGAGGGTCTCTTGCAATCTGCACCCAAGCTTCACCTAGCCTTGCTTTAGCCAAAACAGCTTTGTTTGATCTTATATTTATTCTCTTGGGAGAGTTCCACATGGACAAAAGTTAGACATGTCTAGCCACTCATTTCATTTTTATCTCCAGAGACAAATGTTCCTCAAGGAAAGCCCACAATAATTGGAGTAAAAGGAAGTTCAGTAACTTTTGTATGTAACTATGAGACTCTAAAAAAGTCCTCAGTGAAGTACTGGTGCAAGTGGAGAGAGAACGGGTGTGCTCGGATCATAGACAACACAGGGTATGTGTCGGCCTTGTATGAAGGAAGAGTGGCCATGTACGACAGCCCAGATAACAAGACGATCACCATCATCCTGAACCAGCTGAAGGACAGTGACAAAGGCTATTACTGGTGCATGACAGACGAGGAGAAGGAACAGCAATCATCAACCGAGCTGAAGATCATAGACGGTACGAGCTCGCGCGTTGGCAGTTCTCTGCCTGCTCAGTAGGCACAAAACAACCCCCTCAGCACCACCAAGGAGCAGATTTGGCTTTTTGGGAAGAGATGCGAGGCCCAACTCTGAACTTTTATCTCATAAGGCAAAACATCTTGCCAATCCCCCCCCCACACACACACCCCAATAGCTTTAAAATGGAAACACAAGGTTTCAGTTTTATGGGAAAGTGTTCACAAAAGTTTCTCACAGAAGTATTTCTTAAGCCTTGCAAAAAAACCCCCAAACCCAGCTTTCACCCAGAGATGCATATACAGCATCCTTAACATTAATTTAGCCATGTAAGGAGCACTTTCCCTCAAAGATGCATTTCTTGGTTCACCACTACCTGTTGACTACTGTTCCCACCACTGACACCACTAACATCAGCCCTGGCGTTCTGATTGCCCTTGCAGGAGAGCCTGGACTGAAGGGAAAGAAGGAAGTGGAGGCACAAGTGGGTTCACAGGTCGATTTAACTTGCTCTTACCCGTGCAAGTACTACTCCTACCAGAAGTACTGGTGCAAGTGGAGCAGCACCAGCTGCACCCCCATGCCTGCTTCCGACCAAAGGCATCCGGGGCCAGACGTTACCTGTGACACTGACAACAAGACAGTTATCCTCAGCTTTGACTCGGTGACAAAGGAAGACCAAGGGTGGTACTGGTGTGGAGTGAAGCACAATGGCCTCTTCGGGGAAAGCATGGCAGTGTATCTGCAGGTGACTGGAGGTGAGCTCCAAGGCAAAGGCAGGCAGGGACTTTCCTGCTCCTCAGAGCTGTGAATCATGTTGCTTCTGCTGAGAGAAAAGTCCTCTCCGTATCCACTAGGTTGCAGCACCTCAAAGCAGAAGTGCTCTCATCCAGGCAGCCTCCCAGTCTAGGTGCCAAGATCACCCTGATTTTGCACGCCTTGCCATAGATGTTTTCATCCACTCCCTGGTTTCTGCTTCTCGGTCATAAAACCCCCACCAGTCTAAAAATCCTTCCACACCATTTTTACTTTTTAACCCCGACCTTACTAATTATTGCTATTACAATTGGTAGCATCATTTAAATTAAACAACATCTGACACCTGCCAGGTGAAGGGCTGCACAGAGGTCAGAGATGCATCTTGCTCCAGGGAGCTTGTTATCTTAATAAACAGGAAAATAGCAGGGAGCAGGACAGGAAGGGCTGTCACCAACTCCCCTGGGAAGCAAGGGGCTTAGTCTCAGCTTTGGTGCAGTGTTTTGTTTTTCTTGGGAAGGAATATCATCAGAACCAGAGCAGGAAAAAAAAAAAAGTATAGCACTAGATATCCCACACACAACCACCCTAAGGGGGCAATGGTCAAAATGAAAACAGAGAGAAACAGCCTCATTTCGTTGCCTTCAGTGGGCAAAGAGCTAGAAATAAAAGCAAACCAAGTGTTCAATATTTGTCCTGTGAACACTAGAGGCAGAACTCACAAATGCAAGACTTTTTCAAAAGCATATAGACAGAGAGCGCCTACTCGGGATTTTTTGCAATAAATTATTTGGAATGAGATTATTTCAGATCTCTAAACCCCATTTTAAAGAGCCTTTCACATACAGCCAAAAGCCACTGCAGTTCCACCTGCACCAGATAAGCCCGACTAGGTTTTGTGTCACCATCTCTGTGCTGCTGCTTGCGCGACTAACTGCCCTTCTTCCCCGGGAAACGTAGGGAGCGATGCCGGCCGCAGCCTAGAGCTCCTGAACGTTGATGCCCCCAGCCACGCCGACAGTGGCTTCAATCCCCAAGGAAGAGCCTCTAGTGATGCTGGGGTGCGAAGCGCAGCTGCTTCCGAAAGGTTGGTTTTCTCTACGCCTCTGTCATTTATTGTTTTTTGTGAAGATTCTATTAACCCGTTGTTGGTACCGTGTTTGTACATTGTGCATGCCGTTTAGCAACAACAACAACAAAAATTTGTCCCTAAAGAACTTCGCTCAAAACATGAGAGGAAAAAAAAGCAAAAAAGTTACAGCAAAAGGCAAGATGTCTTCAGATTAATCTCTAGCCCAAGTAAGAAAATACAGTCCCAGAAGGGAGTTATTAGAGATTCCAGGTACAGAAAAACTAATTAAAAATACTTCTGTCAAGATTAGAGAGCTTTCCTTCACACATTTATAACCAAGCTGCTGATGTAGCTGTTTTGGCACAACTTCCATCTTATGTTTTTATTTACCCCCTGTGATGTGCTGGGATCCAGTTCATTAATTGAATTGCATCACGCTCGCTCAGATTTACCATCCTATATAGATTTCAGACTGCTGCATATCCACATACATTATTCGGTCTTGAATAATTTAAAAAAAATTGCATTTCACAGCTTAGTGACATATCTTGCCCTCCATTCCAGCTCTCAAACCCATGGCTCCAAAACACTCACTTCAGTCGTGGTCTCTACTTGTGCCGTGCTCCTGATCCTCGCAACAGCTTTCGCCATTTTTAAATACAGGCAGTTGAAGAGATCTGGTGAGTCCCTGCCTTTTCTAGTCTCTCGAGAAACATCAGCAATTTTAAGATGAAGGGGATCCCTCGTGCATGCTGCCATCTCGGCCAGGCTGAGCTGCTCCCCTGGTACCCCCCAAGCAATGGGGAGACAAGAGACCCACCCTTTGCCGCTGCCCCCATCCACACGGCGCCAACACCCAACGTACGGGGTGCCTGGGCTGAGACAGAGAACACCCCTCCGCAGGCTTCGTGTGTTTTACTGCACGGTATCTCCTTGCGCAGAGGCGGTTTGGAGGCTGATGCACTCTCACCGACTCTGAGCAAGCGTGCGGGGTATTTATCTCCTCCCTCTTAACAGACCTGGTGTCCGTCGGGAGCTACAGGACAAACATCAGCATGTCAGACTTCGAAAGCGTGAAGGAGTACGGCGCAAGCAATAACGCCTGCGTGAAAGAGAGCCAGGAGACTCAGATAGGAGGGGACGGTAGGTTGCTGACTGATGGGCTTGCTCTCCAGGTGAGGGGTGCTGGGGAGGGGGTTGTAAAAGGACCCTGCAAAAGCCACAGAAATACCTGCCCACCGATGCCTCCCCCCCCCCAATAACACCTCCCTTTCTCTCCCTGCAGAGTTCGTCACCACCGCAGCCCCCCAAGAAAGCGCTGCCGAGATAAAGGCGGCAAAAAGGGTAAGAGAAGGCAGGAGAGAGCCCACTGACCTGGGAGACACCACCACAGCCCTCCAGCCTCTGCCAAAGGAGCTGCCTTCTCCCAGGGGCCTTATTTATAGCCAGGTGCTCTGCATCTTACCTGGATCTGGCCACCTGCTGCAGATCGGCCTCTGTGGGGGGGGACCTTAACCCTTTCCTGACCCCACACGTTAGCAGAGATAATAATAGCAGCTGCCTCGCTTCAAACAGTACCCCAAGGCAGCCCCAGGTAGCGTCAGAAAGGTTGGGGCTGGGTTGTTACCATAAATATAAAACACTGGGCATCGCAGATGACCAGAGGCCAGAGCACATCCCACCTCCCAGCCCTCCCCAGCGCTGTGCTCCCATGCGGGCAGCGGTCCGGGGGACAGAGGTAGGCAGGGAGGTCTCTGCCATTGCAAGGGCTGCAACTTGCTCCTGTGGCCATGGCAAGCCTCTGCCTCCCCCCTGCCTCCCCCCCTGCCTCTCCTCCCCGTGGGTACGATCATGGTCGAGTGGCACCACTCAGCAGTAACCGAAGGGGCCAGACGCAAGCCCTTCTTTTTGAAAATCCCTAACCAAAGGTGCTATGTAGGTGTTGTAAGTGCCAAGAGCTGAACCGAAGCAATAAAGGAAACTGTCAGGAAACCAGTAAAACCCAGCAGCTTTAGGACAGGTGAACTGGGTGCCAACACACAGGAATAGGCACGCTGTGGTGTCCCAAACCCAGGCATGATGCTCTCGCATCGGCACTGGCATGACCCGCCGGGTTGTCCCACTCATCCAACCTGCCTGTACCATCCCAAGAAGCTCACGGCCCTGCGGTGCTGCCCATGGTAATGCTGTCCTTTCCCCTGCCCCTGCTGCTATCCATCCCCAGGCACTGACGATGTCCTCCTGTCCTTCCCCAGAGCTCCAAGGAGGATGCTGACCTCGCCTACTCCACCTTCCTCCTCACCTCCAGCAGCATCGCGCAGGGCAGCTCCGGAGGGGACAGCGCTGCCCCGGACGTGTCCTCCCCGAACTGGGAGGGCCAGATCTGAAGGTGACGGACCAAGAGGCAGCAGCAGCAGCTGAAACCGGCTCTACCTTGAGGATTGGAGCAAGACATCAGCAAGCAACACTTTATTGCTACCACAATTTGCTATAGCTTGACCTTTTTTTGCTTAAATTCAGCTTCAAGTGGTGATTTAGGAGGAATTGTTAGATGCCAAATTGGGTGGCTGGGCTGGAGGAGCAGGTCTGAGCGAGCAAGTCAGACTGGGAAACGGCAGGAACTCGAGTGGCTTAAAAAAACCGACACCCCCAGCCCCACCAGTGCCTTCCAACACGGTGGGCTCTCAAAGGTCAGAAGTAACGTTTTTTTTTAAAAAAAAAATCTCATTTTCTTTTAAAGGCAGCTGGAAAACGCTCTAGTACAACAACTCGCACTTTTGATTCCTCTTAGCTTTCTCATCCAGAGGGCAGTACCTGCAGACCAGACATGGTCTGACGTGTTTTCGTGCAAAAGCAATAAAGAATGCCACTGGCTTTCAGCAGACCAGGGGGACTCGCAGTCCGTGGGAGAGCGCGGGGAGAGCACACCCAAAGAGGCGCAGTAAGGATGCAATGGGGCGGGGGGGCTTTCCCCCCCCTCTTACTGCAGCATTACAGCATCACATCTGGTGTTGCAAACGCCACAGGACGGTAGAAGAAACCCACAATTAATGGAGATAAACAGGAAATGTTTTGAGTAATGTTTCTCATGCATTTTCATCAACAGCAGGGATTGATCACGGCATGACATTAATTAGTATGACAACCTATCAGCAGCCTATGTAACTGATTAGGCAATAGGCACCGGTGTTCACTGGCACTGTACCTATTTGCATAGCATGGACCAAATTCCCCAGAGCAGCTGAACCAGAAATTTCTCATTTCTGACTTGGAGTCGGAACAACTGAGTCCAATCCGTGCTCCTCTTGCCACAGAGGAGGCCTTGAAAACCCACCCTTTGCTTAATAAACCTGAGCCACACATCACTCACACATTTTCCCTGGCTGACTTCATGTTTATCCAGGTGGAAATGAGGATGACTGTAATTAAATGTTGTCTCTTGGTCTTATTTTCGAGAGTGGATGACTAAACAGAGCAAAGTAATTTATTGATGCGTGGATTTCCAAACAGCGGCACGACAATGCTGTCTTCCAGTTAGATGTGGGTATGGAAAGCTGCATACCCCGCAGATAAAGCAACATAGGAAGCAGCAATGATGAAGAAATTGTGACAAAACAGAGAGGCAATTTTCCCTGAACACCAGGAACGGGATGGGCTGGTGCCTGCCTGGCAAAGAGAAGGGCTGCGGAGGTGTCCGATAGGACCAGAGCTGTTCGGGAGAGAAGGGACAGAAACTGCACAAATAAATCCAAATTCCTGAGCTTCTCTTGGTTATGTGCAACTCTGATAGCAAGCCGTCAAAGATAAAGAATGAGGAGCATCACCCTGGCTAGAGCCTGAGCTGACGGTCTTACAGCACCACCACAAGTGTAGTTCTGTTTTAGTAAAATACTTGCTACGCTATAAAATGAAAACAGTATGTCAGTTCAGCAAGGCAACGGCTGTTTGCATTAGCCTACAGACACAGAGTTTTCATCAAGGATAAACCCCAAATTATTCCTGAATCACGCACCTCCCCGCAATAAGTGATGAGATGAGCTTGGCTCACCGTGAGGAGGAGGGCGGCAGCTCCAGAGGTATTTGTGTTCTCAGGGCTGCTCTCACATCCACGTTGCAATAGTCATCACCTTACTGATAGCAAGGCTGGGACCTCACATGTCCGATTACAGCTCATCTGCCTCATCTCCCGGGCTGCGTCCCCTCGGCAGCACGGTGGGAAGGGGCTTGGATATCGGAAAAGGTGTGGAGGGGCCAGGACAGGTCTGCGCCTGCCTGGAGTTGCTGGAAGTGAAAGAATTATTCTGGTGCAATAGAAAAGGCGTGCGCTTGGAAAGTGTCCCCGGGGGTGAGCAGTCATAAAGCTGCAGGAGAATGCTAAGGTTTGGAAATTTCTGAGAGGAGAAAACCCCTTTTGCTCTCCCTTTGCAAATCGGCTTCCTCTTCAGCCTTCCTGCTGGCGTCCTTGTCTCAGCTCCGCTCCTCCCGCACCGCGCTGGGAGCAGTGAGAGGCCGAGAAACGTGGATGGGCTAAGCATCCTGCCACGAAGCTCTGCCTGCACCCCTCAGCCCCGGCAGCTGCCTGCCCACGGCTCCTGCTCCTTCCCACCACTGGCACTTCCATCCGACACCTCATTCCCAAAGGGGCATGTCCCTGGGCCGCTGCAGTGATTTCTGTGGATGGGACAGTGTAAACTTTAACATGAAAGCAATAAAACATGCATGGATTGAGGCATGCAACCCTCCGCACAGGATACAAAATCAATGAAATCTGATAAATAATAATAATTGTGACAGCGTAAGCTGAGGATGTGGAACAAAGCCCACACTTCTCACTCAAGCTGTGATCCAGAGCCCACCACGATCAATCGACAGGTCCACAGGGACCTCACCAAGCACCCCCATCTCCTTCACCAGAGTGTTCACCAAACATGCCAACGGATTTCCTTTGGTCAGTGACGAGCTGTGGTATCTCATTGCATCGCTGCTTCATTCCTAATGGTTTTTCTTTAACAGAAGGTCATGGTACGTGCAAGATATGTCTTTCTTAAATGGTTGATTTCAAGGGTGATGGTGTTGAAAGATTGGCTTTCGTGAACATTGGCAGAGCATGGAGGGATGTATTCACCCGTTCATGCCCTGGCACCAGGACAAATCATAGTCATGCTACAAAGACCCATGAGAAAGCAGATTAAGAGAATCAAATCCCTGAGAAGCTTTTCTTTGGCATAAGCAAATATTTGAGAAAGGATAGTGAGCAATCAAGGAGATCTTTCCTTTAAAAGTGAATCACCAAATTCCGCTCAGCGTGAAGCACATGCATATGTGCTATAGGCAAATGCTGGTGAGCTCACCCAGCCAGATCCCCCACTGGGCCCTTTAGGGAAGGGACAAGGAGCTGCCTCCTCCTCCTCCTCTGCAGCTCTTCATTCTGCTGGAGCCCAATGAGAGGCACAGTGGACTGATACAAGGCTTTGGTGATGCTGGCATACTGCTGATGGTCTTGACCAGGACCCTCCTGTGATGGGGATGAAACCAAAGCAGTAACTAGGTTCTCCTTGAGAACATGAGAAGCTTATTCCAGAATAGCAATATCCTGTTAAAGAGCCTCTTCTGCAGCTAAAGCCTTCCCCGTGTCACCTCGGTAGCATCATTGCCCAAGCAGGGAACATGCCAGCCCTCGGTCCGTCCCCACTGCTGAAGCTTGGCCGTGCCCATGGTCAGGAAAGGGAGAGCTGGAGAGTGTTGGGCTGTCCCATGGGAACAGAGGTGCTGAGAAGAGGTTTGTATAAGCCTGAAGGATTCAGACCTATAAGCAACGACTCGACCCTAACAGCAATAAGAGCTGCCCAGAGCCAGGGGAGAGCATGGTTGATGTGCCTAACACATCAGGCATCTGCCAGTGCCAGACACTCCAGAGATCTATGTATTAACACCTTGTGGGCAAACACAGGGGAAAAGGGGTTTAGAGCACGCAGAACCAGCGGGTACCAGCAACGTGTGTGCAGTCACTGGTGACTAAATGGGTGAAAACAGACCAGAGCTCTTCATCGTGCACAATAAAAGTGGTCTCCTGGATAAACTGGAGTGATTTAGTATCGTTCAGGTCTAAACTTTGGTCTCTCGGGTATGCCAGGAGCAATGCATCACATCTGGGATGCTAACATTACCGGGAGTGACAGTATCTGCTATGAAAGGGCACCACGGCAAATTCAAAAAGTTTCCCTAACAAGGAACATGTAATTCCTCAGAATTTTGACAGACAGACTCAGCACAGTTTCACGTGGGGTTTATTTACAGTAATTGCAAGAGATTTCCACAAAACTTACTTCTGAGTGTCAGTAAATTACACGATACACACAAGAACCTTTTTCTATTCAGCAACCACATATCTTGCATAGAAAGTTTTCTTTTACTGATAAGGCAGAAAATATAATCTCAAAAGGAAACACAGATTTCTAGGGCCTGACATACCTGCAAGGACCTATTCTTGGAAGCGTTTCTCACCCTGTGCACCTCGTTTCAGCCAGAGCAATCAGCGGCAGCAGTCACAGAAGACTGAGCCCGGATTTATTAGCACTGCTCTGCGGCATTAACTACACCAGAGTAGTTCCAGCAGGCACTCAGCACTCATGAATATACATTCCCTATACAAAAATTTTATAATTTAAACAATACTTCTATTAAATGATCACAGCTTATGTCTGCTAGCAAGAGAAACCCGTTTATATTTTCCCTTGGAGAGCATCCTTTGATAGGAGTCAGCTAAGCGAGTGCTATGCTGATTTGATCAAGCTCTTAATTCAAGACTCTGCTGATGCATTCGCCTGTGGACCTGGCTAGCAAAACACTCAGTATTTGACTGAACACAAGCTGTAATCAGTGAGAAACTGCACTGATACAGTACATTATTTTCCCCTTCACCCCTGGTGTGTGCAATGTCCGAGCAGCTTCGTTAGCCCCGGCCGTTTGTGGGTCTTTAACGCCTTCTGCTCTCTAACGAGATTTCTCAATCCAGTCTAGTAGGATGTCCAGCTCACCCAGGGATTTAATTGCTGCAGATGTGACATTCAGCTGAAGTGATAAAAGGAACAAGTTGTAAGCAAGGATAAGAGTACAACCCAAGGTAAAGAGAATCTGAGCGTCTGCATTAATTACTAGACTTAGTCATCAACTTACCCCTTCATAGTTTGCAAGTATTTGATTAAATTTCTCAGTGGATTCCTGTCCACAGATGCACTTATTTTGCTCGTGCTAGAAAAATAAGATAGAATTCATTAGTTTGGAGGGTTAATTTTTAAAAATAAGAGATCAGTTTCTAATTATGTTGGAAATTACTGTGTAGACTGAGACCTTGTTAAACGGTGGAAAAGGCTGCAGGTCCTTAAAT